TATGTATTAACTTTTCTTATTTTTAGATCTGGCTTACTTATTCAAATGTTTAAATTTCAAAATTTGCATTGTTTAAAATATGCTTATTTGTGATTATTTGATATCCGTTACAAATTTATAATTATATATAAAGATAGTTTTTACTTGTAAAACAAAGTGACACTGTTATAGATCATGAATGCTTCGGGATCGTATTTATCAGTGATGTTGGCGATGCAATAAACGTCACGTCCGTCTCGTCGATCTTCTCAGCTGGTACTTATAAAACACACAGTAACGTGCAAAATACGTTAGTTCAAAAACACACGCAATGCAAATTTATTTTCCAAAAATATTTGGAATAATTTAGAAAGCATGATGCGAATTTTAAACTGCGATCTGAAACTCTGAGATGTATGTATACATAGTTAAAATTAGGCAAAGCAGATCAATATTTCTCAAATAAATAAATATCTCTTTAATATTGACTGTTAAAATTTTATATGATATCATGCGACATACATATAACATGACCCAGTTTTATTTTATAATAAACTTACTTTTATATTTATCGATATTAGTCGATAGTCCAGGTTTTTATCAGTCGATATTTAAGTTTCTTTTAATTAATCTCTCGCAAATGTCACTACACCAATGCACATTCAAACATTACGTACACAAAAAAAAACATACACATCTCGTAGCATCGCACAACTCAGTTTCCTGTTTCTTCGTCAAAGTCTTTTCATCCTCTAGATTTTAAAAACTTTTCAAAGGATCCCTTCCAAACTCGATTTGCCATCGCACATACGTCGCCCCGCCTTTATGTCCATTTGTATTGTTGTATATTTAAGACCAGTATACAAAAGAGGGAGAAATAATTCTACCTGTAGCTTTCTTTTATCAAAGTGAGGAGGAGCAGCGGCATTGTATTTGTGATCACTGTACGATAAAAATATTTAATGAGCAACTTCTATTGGCTGTTGGCTTAGAGGTGCACTTGTGTGATGACCTCTTACGACCTCCCAGTCTCCAATGATATTTGCTGATATAACATCAAGTTGTAGACAGAAAATACATTTAATGAAACCATATTTTTTTTTATTTCTTTTTGAATGTATTCTTATCTATCATATGTATATATGTATATATTGATGTATATATTGATGTATATATGTATATATAATATATATGTGCGCGCGCGCGCGCGTGTGTGTGTGTGTGTGTGTGTGTGTGTGTGTGTGTGTGTGTGTATTGATGCACTAATTTATATATACGATTGACAGTAAGAATAAATATAAAAATGACTCGTAAAAGTAAAATTAATTGCACGAGAAAATTTATGCTTATCTTATTTAATATTATCTTGTTTATGTGGCCAGGCTTTTCGTGTTTTACATTGTGTAGATCATTTTGCTTTGTCGTGATAACAATCATTCAATTCTAGCACTACTAATATCTTTTAAAATATTATAATTTCGATGATATATTTGATTTGATGGTTACAGTAGATTTTTAACATACTTAAAATTAATTGTCAAATTCATTCTCTTTTGATTAAATGAGTGGTAAGTAACAAATGCAGTACGATTAATAAAATAATATCACTCTAAATCTGTAACAATGAAAATTTTATTGCTAACAAAAGTGAGTAGCAAAGTCATTATTTTAAGTATGGATTTTCATTCCTTTGAAATTAGTCTGTCTATTCTTATATAAAGAAGTGGACTATTTTATTCGATTAATCGGAGTGATTTAAACATTAATTAATAATGCATTGAATGTTACTACAAGGAGTGAATTTAGCGATATAGCGCACCATGCATGTTTGTTGCATGTTTGTCGTATGGGTGCGACGCATCTTGAGACACATATGACATAATAAACATAAGAGACAGAATAAAATTAAAAATAAAAATAAAATAAAAATAATAATAATTAAAAATAAGTTTAATAGGTTAATAGATTAATAGCATGTTCTATTCAAAATCTGTCTCTATAGGCTTTATTATCTGGATTTGAAATTATTCTGAAATTATTCTAACCTCCAAATTCACTCCTTTTTAAAGTAAATTTTTCACTTTAATTATCAAATGGATTTTTCATTTCCATCTTGCAGTAAAATTCATTAGATCAATTGCCACTAATGCCTATATTGAAATTTCAATTTAATGCAGTAAAATTTCATTTTGCTATAGATTTAGAGTGATACGCAAATATATTTTGATAAAGCTGTATACTTACATTTGTTTTTTTATTTAATTAATTTATCGATTCGTATACTGTTTATGCTTAAAATTTTTAAATATTTATTAAGAGTAAATGTTATTTCATTTGTATTTGTCGAATGCTTCTTTTTTTCTTTTTGCAACGTCCTTCGATTTCGAAAAGTAAAAAGAAACGGGAAATTAAAATTTTGCCGCACTGCTTTACAATCCAAGGATTAAGACATCATTAAGTTCGTAGCATAATTTATCATAGTTTATATGATATAAAATATTCAAACGAAACGTTGACAACGATGATAGAAGATTAAAATGATTGCGATTGATTAATAATAATGTTGAATTGCATGAAACATCAAGCAAGGAAAAAACATCGGATCAGATCATCACGTTCGTGACTTCACACAATGGTTGATTTTTCTTACGGCATGAGCATCATGGTTGATGTTGAGATCATTGATCAACCAACAAAGATGTTGAGATTAATGACCGAACTGCTCCACATTCATAAAATGGAAGTTCCTTTTCATATACAGTTCAAATATATAGTTCAAATATATAAATATATTGTTTGTTTAAATATGTATTAACTTTTCTTATTCCTAGAACTGGCTTATTCAACTTTTTGGATTTAATTAATTTTTAAATTTACGACATTGTTTAAAATATTTGTGTTAATCATAGAAGTGTATATCCTGGGTCCTTTCTGTGCTTTTGTTTCATAAATAGTTTACTGTTATCTTTGATAAGTTACAAGTATACAAATAATTAATACAAATGCACAATTATATATAATAAAAATAAATAAAAAATATATTTGAGAAAAATCAATTTACTCAAAAATATTTATTTCGTTAGATATGTCAGTTCTGTACAATTAGTTAAATTTTTTACTAACAAAAGTATTTTTGCAACTTACTGCAATAAAAACATGAGTTTTCCTTTTTCATAGATAGTGAGTTCTTTATTTTTAGACTGTATATGTGATCAAATATCCTGCGTTACTAGTTTGCGAAGCTAGTACCAGAAAGCATTGACAAACAAAAATTTACTATCATTGAACAAAATCATTCAAAAACATTAAAAGATCATTTGTTTTTCGGAAAATATTAAGTATTTATACTCGTATATCGCGCTGCTGCAATTTACATATGACATTGTAATAATTAAGTTAGTAGGATTTTTGATTATAATACTGTGAGTGTAAAATAGTACAGTTAATAAATACATTCACAGTTTATCAAATCATATTTCGATATTGTTAGCACTCGACGATCGTCGCATCCCGATGCGACGGCAAAGATAGTAAGACTTGTTCCGTTATACATCATAATAAATATTAATATGTTCCTGTTTTGCTATGTGGGAGAATATCTGATAAATCAGGTTAGCATGAGAATAAATACTATCGACAAATAATTCTTACTATAATTTTCTCTTTAATTGTTCTACGAATTTCATAGAATAGTGAAAGACTGTTCATCAAACATTTAATAAAAAGAAGATTATAATAAGATTCTTGAAAAACAACATATTGGATTCTATAATAAACAAGAAAAATGCAAATTAATCAATAAAAACCGATGATTTGATTTATGTTCAATTTACTTATTCTTTTTTTAATTAACTGTCACTGGGAATGATAAATAATATAAATTTCTTTATTATTTTTACTTTTGCAGAGTAAAACTGTTGAATCCGCTGCGTATGATTTAAAACGTAAATACAGTCATATTCTATTATTCGGGATAGTGAGATCGCAACATCTGAGCAACGCTCATAATTGGGAAAATAATGGATCTTTCGTTACAACGTTTCGCAAAAGTAAGATTCGTGCACAGTATATGAGATAACCATCTGATTATATATAATACATTTACTGCAATTATATATCTTCTAGAAGTTTATATTTACTTACATAACTCTTCTCATCACTTATTGTTAGATTGTTGTAGACCAGGCCTATCCAATTTGAGCTCCGGAACCAAAACACAAAGCTAATCGACACAAAAAAAATTCAATGTGAATAAGATTTCGGGGATTGTAAAGTGTTGATACGCATCTGAGTGATGCTTATTAACACTTTACAGTTCTTCCAAAATCTTATTCACATTGAATTTTTTTGTATCGATAGCTTTGCGTTTTGGCTTCGGATGCTCAAATTGGACAAGTTTACTGTAGACTATTATATTAGGTGTAGTAAAAAGAAATCCATTATTTTTGCATGAAATTGAATGGAAAAATAATGAATTTCTTTTTATTACATCTAATATTTATTGAATATTACATATATTATTTAATACTAATATATTTATTTTATAATACTATAGCTTAAGTATATAATAACAAATATATTAAATTCTAGCGCGTTGTTATAAGTCGTAAATGCTACGGGATCGTATTTATCGTATTATTGGCGATAAAATGGCGTCACATTCTATCTCTTTGCCTTTCAACTGACAAATATTAAAATACCCAGATAGCCCATCTGTCGAAAACAGATTCAATAATATATTCAATAATATATTCAATAATATATAATTTTATTTTCTTTACTAATTAGATGAGCGTATAACACAATATATAATTCTTCAAATACATGCTTCAAGTTTGTTTAAAATAATTTGTTTAGCAATAAAATAAATTATAGAATAATATCAAACTACATGAATTATCTCTAAGTTGCAGTGTATGGCATCTTGATATAAAAGATATTACCATATTCTCGATTTCCACGATCTTCCCTTCCTTCCCGATGCGACCCTTCGGAAACTTCTTTGTCTTTCTTTAGATCAATGCGCATGATTTTTCGATGTATTATAACATTATAAACCGGGTGTACATCGACCTCCGTCCTGCGTAATCGTACATTTTTAACGAAAATTGTATGGCATCGTACCGTTCGACGCATAGGGCGGAAGGACGCATCCCTCGGTTTTCCTTCCATCCGCAAAATCGGCGATCGTCAACGACACGCGTTACCACAACTTTATCGTACACAGAGCGATGAAAATATTTAATGAACTGTCCCCTGCCCGGTCGACGATGGACGAAGGTAGGTTTCGTGGCAAGTAACCCTCCGGCATCTTTCAGTCCATTCGCAGCGTCTACAGATGCATGTCTCGTGTCTCATTCATAAATCTATTTTACAATCGTGTTCAATGCTAATATCTTCCGCACGCGTTTTGATTAACTGTGAACGTTGTGGATTTATTTCATTAATCCTCGTCGATTGATAACGTGCCGGAATCAAATATTCTCTTTCGTTCTTGATAATTAATTATATTTATATATAATTATTTTTTGTAAACCGATAAAATCTCTGATATCCCATTTTAAGAAAGTATATACAACAAGTATCTCTCGCTTCCTTTAAAGGAAGAGATTTTGGAAAGAAGAAGATGCATGGCCTACTCTTATTTTAGCCTCGCCTTATTGATTATGTTATAAAGTGTACACAATTAAGTCTCGTTAAATGATGTCTGCTAATACAATTACCCGATCGATCGAGATCGGACTTCGGGTAGTCGGCATCTGGCCAGGCGCGACCTACGCGATCATCAGTCGATTTTTCTGGACCACGACGATGATAGTCGCACAGATCTTTCAGTATCGCCACATGGCGATGCACTTTAATTCCGAGGACATCTCACAGCTGATGGATGGTCTAAGCGCGACGCTGTCATACAGTTTATTATGTGTCAAGTTGATTGTTTTCTGGACAAAACAACGGTACGTCTGCATCGTCGCTACTTGCAGTTTATGACTTGCACTTCACGATCAAATCAAACAAATGTTTGATAATACGAAGCTCATATGCATATCCGTAATTATCATTAAATCGTTCAAAAGATTGTAGAATTAGTGAATTGTTTTTTTACTATAAAAAAACTTTGCGAGCACATTAGAAATCATTATTTTGACAAATAACATATTTTTTTCTTTTTCATGATACATCATCTCAACAATTTACAAATAATACATTTTTAATATCTCCTTCACTATCTTTATTCGTAATCGTTATTACATCTATGGAATATCGTTATTAGTAACAATGATATCGATCATCTTCTCATCTTTCGACCTACTCTCTTCATCATTCATCATCGCGTAGGGACAAATAGTGTCCTAATCATAGTCTTCGAGGGGGGAACATCTTCGCTCTCGCGGTGCTGCACGAAATCGATTCTTCCTAGAATATTCAACGACGTGTTAACGAGCATCGCGACGGACTGGAAGGAATGTGAGGATGCCTTGTGCAACATGAATAACGTGGCCAATCTCTCGCATCGTTTCTCCAATTTAATCATCGGCTTGCACTCAATGGCCGTGCTGTTCTATGGCATTGGCGTCATCGCCTTGCGCAGCGACGACGTCATCGACGCTGCCAATCGTGAACTTTTTCTCAAAATGGAGTTACCCTTCTACAGTGGCATGTCGCCAATTTACGAGGTCGTCATGACCACGCAGTTCCTGCATCAAATGACGGCCGCCACTGTGATCGGTGTGCTCAGCGCACTGCTCGTTACGCTGGTAAGTTGAACCCTTGGAGGCTTTCAACCCCCAGGGGATTTTCAAGTTCCCAACTGAGATTACCCCCGAGAGTGCATCCCGAGAGATAGCTCGCATTACTATGATAACTGTTCGTAGCACATTTCAATTTATTTAAGAAAAATACAAAGAAAACTTATTTATGGAAAATTAATTTTTAAATGAGTATTGATTTGTCAAAATTATTAACTTTTGATGCTAGATATCTTTGTCTTTTCTTACTAATGTTAAAAATATTGATTGTTATCATCTTGTTAAAATATTTATATTTAATATTTAATATTTAATATTTGTTAGAAACATTTCTATATAAATATGAAAATATTTATTTTCATTTGTGAGATTTTAGATATATCAATAAATTATAAAAATTGTTAATAAATCTCTGTTTCAGTAAAAATGTTAAAATATCTGTTATAATATAATATCTAATATAATATTATATATAGCGTTCGT